TCTTTTTAAATTTAGTTGGTGCGGCTTATATTCAGGTGCGCTCAATAGTCCGGAAATTACGGTATATGAAGGCCTCATCCACAGAAAATGACGGCTTTTCTCATCAGTTTGTGAACAACAATAAGTGAAATACATCAAGGTTTCAGGGTTCCCCACTAAGGGCTTTAATGTAAACAGACAAATATGAAACTGTCCTTTATTAAACACATTTGAAAATTATGTCCTGCATAGTAGCTACTATGTGCTTCTAAATTGCCAATTCAGTATTAGATAATAAAAAAAAACACTGAATACTTCCATCTACAGGCACATTAAAGTTTTAGCCTGACATCATAAAGTAAAAATCTGGATGTAATGCTGGTCTTTAACAGATTTCAGGCTTTCTTGTATGGGAACTCTATAACTACAGCGCCTTCAGGCAACACAGTTGACCTTCACAGGATCTTGTGCCCAAACTCTTCAGTAGACTCACATTATCTTGCCTCATGATAACCAAACGTCACATATACTGTAGCAGAAGGATATAACACAACAAAGCTGGATGAAAACCATGCTATTGCTGCCATCTAGTGTTTGAGATTTTCCCTTGCTACACACTTGTATTTTCACAGTTGGGTTATTTGGAAGGCCATTGTCCCTGAGAGTTCAGCAGCTTTGGTAAAATAGGACAGCTGCTTTCAAACAAAGTAGTCTCCAATAGAGCTCCAAATGGTGGTCTGGAAATTGTTTGTAGTGAACCCCGGCACTGTTCATTCAGCAAAGGGTTCACCATTGTTCACATCACAAAATGCATATCTGGCGAACCTTCTCAAATGAGGTGTGCTTTGTTTGAAGGTGTCGCTGCATAGATCGTGCCCATGACTGCTTTTCCTTGCTTTTTTGTGATAGCAATACAGAAGGATTGCAATTAAAAGAGATGGGTCTAAATTTCTCCTTGGTTATAAAAAAGGCATGTTGAATAACTTGAAATGTACCTCGGCTTACAATGTGTTTGGAAAGACTTTCGCAGTAATGTGTAATGTCAATGATAAAGATATGGACGGTGTGTCAGCGTTGCTCCACCACTGAAAATGAAGAACATATCCTTGTGCATTTGGTTATTTTTGCTGCAGAAGAGTCACAATTGATTGCTGACAAGAGAAAGAACAGTTTGCAGAGAAATATCACTGTGATTGGATATAATTTGCTTAAAGTGGACTCTTACCTTTCCAGTGCTCTGGAGAATGGTTGTCCTGGTCCTCCAGACCCTCTCTCTGCTGACAATATCTCTAGTGACATCCACCTCAGCATCCACAAAGCTTCTCTGCTTCAGGGTTATGTCATCATCCAGATCTGTTTTGATGGTGGAACGTTTCTTGGCCATGATCTTGGCTTTGATAGCTGCGATTTTCTCCACTGACATGGCCTCAGACAGGGATCTGGAGGAACAAAAAAGTTATGATCACTCAAACAGCTCACTGCTTCGAGGAACTGGTCTGTGGGTATCAATGTCTAGTAAAACATGATATCCAGAGCAATCAAGTTAAATATTGATCCGTCATTACTGATACTATTATATTTTGAATAAAAATCACAACTAATCTCAGAGGTGAAATAATTTAAACTTGAGAGGATATTACTTTATACAAAAAGCATATTATATATAAATACAGCTGGGGCAAATCCATTATACCTGATCTGGTCAGTCTGCACGATGCCCTCTTTGTGGCCCTCCAGACGGGCAGCCAGACGCTCCTTGTCCAGACGCACTCGCTCTTCATCCTTAAAATGAAATCAGTGTACACATTATTAGCAAACTAAAGAATAAAACACTATTGATGATGCACCAGGTCAGTGCTGACTCATTAGTTTTCACTAATACTCACTTTGATCAGTTTGAAAAACAAAATGATTAATTTTATGTATTGGTTTTACCAGCTAAATATTTTGGACCAATGTAATGGGTTGTACTTTGAATCATGAAAAACTTCGCAGTGAACTATTTAACTGATCCTTTTGCCTTACAAGGGAACAGGTTGGTTACCCTGTTTGTCAGTTGGATTAATTTGTTACTAAACTGGTGCAGACGGTAGCATATGTAGCAAAACAGTAAAGACATAAAGAAAGAAACAGTAGCCATCTTAAATAATACTGTTCTGTTCTTTTACATTAACGTTAAAAATATTTTGGTCTACTTCACTTTAAATCAGGACCTCCCTGCTCACATTTGTACTGGTTCACTAAAGTGGAACTGCTTCTGCTAGTGGAATAGAGATACGGGAGAAAAAGCTCTAAAGCTGCACTAACACGTTGAGTATGGTGTTTGTACTAAGCAACTGTTGGCAGAAGATATTCAGTCAACTTACCTCAATCCTTGGTTTTTTGGCTTCAGAAGATACCTCGTCAGCTGCTCGTTTGACTAAAAAAAAGCAGAACAGTATTATTTCACTGCATACAGATGGTTTTGCTGACCCAACTAATAGGAAGTATGTTGTAAATAGCAACAAGATACAATTAAGTTGTAGTCAGTTTTTAATAACAGTCAACCTATGTCTCATAAAACAATACATTGCCCCTGTATATTACTACAGCTGGCTCTTCAAATGTCATTAACAAATATGGTGTGAACTTACCTTGTGTAGGCCTTTGCAAACCTATTTCTATAGGTGCACTTCTGTCAATACTTGTTGATGTAGCTGTGAAAAGAGAAAATAAGAAATTGCATTTCCATGTTACCAATTACACCAACTAAGCTCCTCCTCCGCACTTATCAATTAAACCTAAACTAAACTAAAGTAAAAAAAGTCATTAATGTATAATGTTTTAGTCAATAAACAATTTAAATGAAATCAGGTCATAGTACAAGTACACTGAAGGAGGACACACAAACAAATTCTGCACACAATAGAAACACAATCCAAAAAGATATCCCTGGTGCTACTTACAACTCTCGCCATTGAGATAGGAGAGCAAGCCTTTTCGATCAGGTCGTCTGACAACAGGGATGTTTTCTGTCTATAAACAACATACAATAATGTCAGCAGAAAACACTCAACACAACATATTTTGAGTATCCTGAAATAAGTAATTAAGTACCGACACTGACAAGATAAGGAAGTTTGATAGTTATTCCAAGGCACTTACTGCAGCTCTTCGCACATAGGATGGATGTGGGAGATGTACATTATTGAGCAAGAACAAGATAGAGTCCAAAGTATAGTACTCTTTGGGCTGGCCCTCTTTACCAGTACTGAAACACAAGCAGAGGAAAAAACAAAAATCTCTCAAATCTCAAAATAAAAAAGTTTATTTCACCATAACATATGACTGAGATGTACAAAAACGGCTGCAGGTGGCACATTCGGCTGAATCTAAAATTGCATAAATCCATAATAAACAGTAAACATAGTTAGGTTAACGTTACTTGAGTAAAGTATAAAGTTAACGTTACTTTAACACCGAACTATTAACAGTTATCCGGTTAGCTAACCTACTAATCCTTGCGCAACTTCATCTTTCTGCATTACATGAGCACAGTTTGCTCTCTGCACTGTGACCGAAGCTGCTTATAGTAACACCAGCAGAAAGCAGAAACACAAGTTGGGCCACTGGACCACTGGAGCCCTGACACCATGGGAACACAACTCAACGCTAGCTGCCGTCGCTAGTTAGCATCACATTACTACTGCAACTTTAGCTTACAGCTTTCATAAATACATTTTAAGTTTAAAAAAAAAAAAGAAGAGAAATTGACACGCGCGAAGCTGGAAAAGAGGCTCTGCGGTTTAGGGCAAAATACTTAAATATCACGTCAAAGTAACCGAGGGTGCTTAAAGTTTAAAGTACAACAACGAGGAGAGGAGTTGAGTTAGCATCGTAGCCTCTGGTAGCTAGCGATCGTTACCAGCAGCACAAGGTCCCGATGAGCTTCAGCTGCGGGCCTACTCAAGCGATTCATGCAGGTTTTAGCACTGGCTTACCCCCAGATTATGTAGTTGGTCTTGACATTTTTCGGCCAGGAGAACTCTCCAAATATGACTTCATCTCCTTTAGCGACGATTTCTTTTTTCTGGATGTTATACTGACGGAGAACACTCAACACATCCGCCATCTTCACTTGTCTTGTTGTAGTGTGTTTGCGAAGCCCCCAGTTATCAACGTGATGTGGCCTCGCAGGATGCCTGACCTGAATGAAACTTTTTAGACTTATTTTCCCTTTATTGCAGGTTTGACAAAAACTACCAAAAACGAAACCACCGTTGTTAAACGTATTTTTTTAATTTAGACTAGTTAGTCGGCCCTGGCAGACACAACTCTGGTAAAGTCCCAGTGCCTTGCTCAAGGACACTTCCATAGGATGGGCTTAAAGATCCCTCCAGACATGTATTGAGTGTGTCTGATGTGTATTTTCTGCAAAAAAAAGGAAGCACAATTTACTCATTAAAATCTTTTAAATGACATTTACTCCTTCTATCGCATAAAAAATTCCAAAAACAATTAATATGCTATTTTTGTTCATTTCTGGTGTTACTGTGGCTGTACACAAGATGTCTCCTACTTCACTGTAAAGTCCATTTTTAGTGTCTGTGCACTCCTGGATTCTAGTTTCTACATCACACTCATATAAGTTGCATACTGGACCAGGACTGACTCCATAACTATTTGTGACGTCACGCTAATAGGCCCCGCCCCTCAATGCAATGGGAATCAATAAAACTTTCCACATTCAGCAGATGTATGTGTACACATCCTTCTAGTGTCAAAAGCTCAAACACCAAACTGCAGGAACAAGCAAAACATAATGTTGAGTGGAGTCAGTCTGTGATGTGCCCACACGACAGTAACGTTAGCTTTCAAGAAGTCACAGTTATTTGTACCATAGAAAGTCAAAACCACAACAGTATTTGAAGAGCAGCAAAGTGTTTATTAGGGGTTTTAATTGCCACTACAGTCAAGTACTTGCATGTTAAGCAAAATGGATACATTGGACAATATGATAGAAAAGAAGTTAATCATGGTGGTAAAACACTTGTGAACTACCATACCTCAGACTTTCAACTACAAAAGTTGTATCAACAATCATATTCTACAAATATTTTAGCTTATAGCATTTCGACCTCGTCTTAACATTGAAAATGACAGTATCGGCATGTGTGGACAAAAATCCTTCACAGTAACGTGGTCAGAAATTTTTTTTCTTCATAAAGAGTGAATTTCATGGGAATGAATGATGAGTAAAAAGTTTAGTGAATGGCGTCAGTAATCACACGATTGCTGTTGACTACACATTATTTCCATAATGCTAAAACGCTGTATATACGCAGTGTGTGTTTATTCTGTGTTTGGAGAAATATAAAGCAGCATACTTTAAATCTCCACTGTTACATGTTTTACAAAAGTACATTCAATTAATTTCATTCCAGGGCAGGTAGCAATTATGTGTATCTGTATATTCTTACATCAAATATACAGAAACGTGCTAGCAGATTCAGTCTTGGTAAACAGTTGTTAAATAGCTATGATTTAACCTTCCTACATAATGCATAGTAATGCATAGAATTCAGACTAAAATACTAAAAGTCAATTTCTCCAATTTACAGTAAACTGACTTACAGTCCCAAACATTGGCATTATTGTTTCAAAAAGGAAACCCCAAATATTCCCCCCAAAATGGATCACATTTAAGAGCACCAAGGGTATTTTTGTTTACAGAGTAACTTTGACAAGAGCAAAACAGACAACTCAGTTTTAAAATAAAATTGGCTTAGGGGAAAAATTTTAATACAACAGCTAAAATTGTAACTAGGCTAAATCAAAGAATTTAAAGTCATCAGAATACATTGCAGTTTTTGAACTTTTGGTGCTTTGTTGTAATTCCTCTCTCTAACAGTATATCTGTTAATAATTTATAATAATGCTACATAAAACAGAGAGACAGGCTTTCAAATTTAAACTGCGTCTACCATCACATCAAACCTGCTAAAATCATACCATGGATACATACTACAAACTATAGTAAATCCCTATAAAATAAACCTACAGTTGCACTAGGCCTCAAAGACTCTGACTCCTACATTGTTCCTCTAATTTAATTAGCAAACATCTATAAATTAGTGGAATTTATTGCTGAATGGGTTAGTGTCTCACCAAAAACCATCAAAGCACAGCCCGTCATACAGAGCGCTGTTTGCCCTTAAACTACTGACAAGCATGATATGCAATAACATATCGTGTCTTATCACCTCCTTTTCACACTTCAGAAAAAATATATACACATAACATTTCAAGTGTTGTCCAGCCCGCTGGACACTTTGTCAACTGACTAGTAGGCGACGTCATACAAAAAGAGAAATTGGAATTGTAAATGTCAACATCTTTTGGATTAGTGCTGTTTCGGGGCACTCTACATGCTAAGTGAGCCATATTGGTCCACATTGTGCCTTCCTTTTGTACTCTTAACCACATGGGCCAGCAGCAGTCCCAACACTTTATCAGATCAGATCCTGGGCGAGGTTACGAATGACGCTCAAAGCTCCAAGGTCGAAGCCACAGATGCTCAGTAAACCCCTGTCTTCTGTGTCTGCGATGACGTGTCCAATGGAAGTCAGCCCACAAATCACCAACTTGGAATTGGCTCCTGTTTTCTGTTGAAAAATACACATAACAAAATGTGTTATTTTGGTTAATTGTTTTTGCAAAACACATGTATGTATGCACGTAATACTGACGATAAGCCTATTTGGGGTAAAATATTACACTTTTCTTAATGTGACAAAGACAACATTTTAAAGGGAGTTATAGTCCACGTTATAGTTTGTAGGACTTTGCACCTAGATAGATAGATGTGCTCTTAGTAACTGTCATGTAATTTTACAGAAAACTGATTGTGTCCTATCACTCAACCCTATTACAATTGTATATCTAACATAACAATAACATTCTGGAAATTAAGGAGCGCAGGGATCAGCTTTATTATAAATATGAAAAAGAACCTCATCCCATTCACCTGTTTAAGTTAATCGCCATCAAATTGCAAATTAATTCTATCCTACTTGTGTGAGCCTATTTTCTAAAACAATCTTTATCACAGCGGACATTATTCAATCAAATCCACTCCCCAAGCAGACATGAATGAATGAATATACTTGTCTATGCTTCTTCAGAGACTCCACTGGGCTGGCAGTAAACGTCCACAACGGGTTGTTGGTCAGAATGATGAACACATCTACTACTTTCCCATTCTCTGTGGCCCACGTGATTGGAAGGGTGAAGTCTGTGTTCCCACCTGGGATCTGTAACATAGAAGAGTTAGAGTTGAATTAGAGTTCAAGAGAAGCCAGTGCGAACACATTGCTGACTGACCTACATTTGTTAACAGATATTGTGTATTCACAGATGGTTGTAAAATTCCCTAAATTCCAACATTATACTGATCAGTAACTGTAATTATTTTTTGATTCGTGATGCTGTGACATGCCTTACCTTAACCAGTTCAATTGTTGCTTGTGCAAGAGTCATGTCAGCAGAGACAGAGCATGGAACCAAAGCTCCTTCAGAGTAAGCCAGCACATGCGTGTCTGCTTCTGTCCTTGCAAAAATCTGAGCCAGACATAAAGGTCAAAACAAAAGCATGACATCACTGTTGCAAAAATTCCTCTCTCTCACATACGCACATATAGTGCTGCAAAACAAAAGCATTACAATTCTCTCAGCCAATAACTCCTGGAGGGTCAAGACAACCAAGACAATCGCAATGTGGAAGGAATTTCGCGGGAATCCAGAGCATGCATCAACAGACCAATTCCTTGACCCAGGATTCCTCCAAAGATGGGGCGGCAGACACAGCTGTTCCAACTGGATCACCAGTTAGCCACGCGCTGTGTCGCTATCTAGCTCTAGTTGTATCTTACCATGGTAATAGCCGCAGCAGCAACAGCGGTGCTGACTGACGTCCCTGGGACAATGCTGCTCAGTGATGTGCTCACGTCTACTGCCACTACGAAACGTTTACCCACAGGCTCCACATTCTGAGGACAGAATTGCAACAGTATTACCTAATGTGGCTGTTTGCTGTCTTCTTTAATAGTATTTGAGAAGCTGTAAAAACAAAGGAGAACCTACCATAAAACTCTTGTAAAAGGCAGAGTCCATTGCTTTGAGGATGCTGCTGTCTGCTTCCCATTTTGTTTTACCCTGATAGCCTTGGCCTCTTTTGTAGTTTTCAGAGGACAAGAGTAGGCTGAAAGGGTGGATCTTTGCCTGGTAATTTCAAGACATGAAACACTGACTCAGCTTTCATTAAAAGCATAACTGTAAATGAATAACAAGATCTGGGGGTCCTACCTTCTTTAGTGCCGTCTCGCTCTGGATTCTGTCACATACAGCTTGTGTTTCTGAACTTCCTGGTTCAAGAATTTTGTTTGACGTCATCTTACCCAAGATCCTCAGCACTGATTGGAGAGGCATTTCCTTCAACAAAGCTCTCCATACCTCCAGAAAAAAACAAACACATATCCCCCATATCAGAATAATACCAAATGGGACAGAGTACAACAGATCTTCGGTAGCCCATCCAAGGAAGCTACAGAGAAATGCACCAGAATGGCATACTTCTCAGTTGTACCGATTATTTCCAAATGACAAAGAATCTGCTGCTAAACAGCATTTAATTGTGAAAAGTGTGAAGCCCCCCACTCACAAAAAAATCCTTAGTGGACCATTACCATTCACTGCCATTATACGGTGTCATTTGTTACTGAAAGTAATCCTCCAGTCTTAATCTCATGACAACAATGATGACTTTAAAAATAAAAACACTCACCTGTTTGGACTTAAGGTGGTCCGTCAGCAGTTGTTCCCTCTCCAGTTTGTGTTCTTCTATTAAAGTGACGACCTCTGTTTCATCACAACTGTGCTTGACCTTCTCCACCACTTCAAGATACAAAAGGACTTTGACAACCTCTTCTGAGTTCTCTTTGTCTGAGTAAGCAACCTGGACTTCTTTCCAACCTTTTGTCACGTATTTGCTGATCAAGGCAATTGCTGAAAACACAAAGATATGACCATTACAGTCAGTTACTTAATGAACAGACGAATCTTACAACACAGTAGCAATGAGGTGAATGAGAAGCTGGTGAAGATCATGCATTTGTTCATTTTCTTAAAATGAATCTATTAATTTCATTTAAAAAATTGAATTAATACGTCTAGCTTCCGAAAAGATAAATGTTGTGAAAAAAGTTATGTACTGCAAGGCAGGAATATTCCAATGTGAAGTGGATGATGTTTTTGCCGATCCCCTCTAAACAGCTGCGTATAATGAGGGTCTGCGTAAACTCACCTTCATTAGCTGGTTTGGTGTGAGAGAGCCTGAGCAGATCCTGGTGTGACCATCCCTCTCTCTGTTTACATTTGGTCACTGCCGCAGCCAGACTCATGGCATCTTGCTCATTGTACCAGTCAGACACTGCTTTCCTCAGGGCACGTCCCCAAATCCCACACTTCATCCCCTCTTTCAATTCCTTCTTGTTCTGGATGAAAGAAAACAGGTGGGCGGGGTCCCGACAAACTTCCTTCAAAGCTTTGAACGCCGCCTGTCTGGTTTTCACCTCCGAGTGCTGGGAGCACAAAGCCAAGGCAAAAAACGAGGGGCCAAGTCCGACAGCTCGCCCATCCTGACTGAACCTTTTTATCTCCTCCACCACCTCAGCACCTCGACCCTCCTGCAGCAGGGAAAGCAGGGCTCCGGCGTTCTCCATGCTGACATGAGCCTCCTCTCTGGCAGTGTAAATGTCTCCCTCCGAGCCATAGCAGAGAAAGCGGCACAGTCTGGCCTTGTCGCTGACCTCCCATGGGCAACCGCCACCTGTTGAGTTCAGGGTGTGGTTGCTCGACGAACATATCGTAGCACTTCCCAATGGCTCCATTGTAACACAAGAGAAGGCCTGAAACAGAAAGTGGTGAAAAGGGAATCTTAGTAACTTTTATACATAACTGTGACTGGTTGACACTTACTGAAAGGACTTTTTTTCACTTTGCCACAAATCTGATCCCTGATCAGAATACCCAGGGGACTAACCACAGCTCAGATGTATTGGGTTTATTTCCCATTCATGATGCTGGTGTGGAATTGCAAATGATGCCCCTCTTTAAAGCCCTAACATTACCAAACCAGCATGAGTTCTTGCTCCAGTACACTGCTGCCAATGGCTAACCAGAGAGCCCATGAACACAAGATAACGTCGACTCAGCCAGCAACATTACCAACTCATTGCCTCAGTGCACCGACAGAAATAACTAAAGCCGATTACAGGACATGATGATACACATGAGACAGATGCACGCCACACTGAGCTGTTCATAGAGGATGGTCCAGACTAGTCAACCTTAAGTTAACTATCGTTACCAGTTCAGGTTAGCTAACTTAGTCAAGCTAGCAAAGGAGTAATTTAGTTAACGTTAATTAATAATGTTGTAATCATAATAAATACGTATCAAGCTAGTTGTGTAGCAAAAATAAAAAGCCCAACCTACTCCTGACGTTTCTCAGCTGCAGCTGTAAAAGCAGTGTTCGCCATCCGGTCTCCTCCGACCGAAACTATCACGTCCCACATCTGAGCTTTTCCTAGCCGGACACCGGAAAGCAAAGCTGGGCGAGGCGGTCAGAGGCAGCTCGCCTGGTATGGACGCTAACCTTAAGTACATTTAGCTGGCTCTACGACAGACATAGTGTTTGCTAATCGAAATGTTTCGGTCGACAATAAGCGTCATTGATATTAAACAGCACACGAACTTACCACAGTATATGTGCACAGTGCTCAAGTTCTCATCTAACGTTAGCCAGATGGAAAGAGGCCTCTCTCCTCTGAGCGACCGTCGGTGAGATAACCAGGGGCGGGGCCGCGATGGATGCTGGGATACAGAGTACCAGCTCTCACTCACACACACACACACACACACACACACACACAGCACACACACACACACACACACACACACACACCAGCTTATGTCTCTCTCTCTCTCTATCTCTCTCTCTCTCAATTCAGTTTGCTTTATTGGCATTACATAAAGTAACAAGACATTAGGAATTAAAGGAGGAAAAAGAAAAAAACACATTTTCAATATCAGAAAACAAAAACCAGTGTCGTGTGTGTGTGTGTGTTGAACCTGGTTAGTTGTGTGGTGTGCTAAAGCTTGATGCTATGTGCTTTTCTCCGTCTTCTACTGTCAAATGTTGCTGGTTCATAAATTGGTTTCCTTACATTTGGCCTCCACTATAGATTTGGTCATAAAACATTGATTTACTTTTGACTACTCAATTCACTCTCAAGCTGAGTCTCAGTGTCATGCATGACCGTAAAATTAATGAATGGAATATTCTTCACTCAGTACTCAGATCCTTCCTTTACTTAAGTAAAAGTAAGAACACCACAGTAACAAAAATAGTAAAAGTTTAACAAGTCCTGGATTCAAAGTTCTACTTGAGCATAAGTACATCAGCATTACCAGCAAAACTGTACGTAAAGTATCAATAGTAAAAGTACTCACTATGCAACATGGCCCCTTTCTGGATGTTGAATAATAGAGCCTTCAAGTTCCCGAACAATTATATATTTTGTTGAAACTCTTACGCATACAAGATAATATTTTGTACATACAAGTTATTATTGTGTGCAACCACATACAAATATTTAGGGAGGACTTCAGGGGCCCTTAGTTTTGTTGTTTATAGTGATGATCTCATGTAATTTCCAGCACAGTTTCACATAACGCCAACCTGTGGGTCTAATCTGCAACACTGACAACACCTTTGAGGGTATGTGGGGCCTTATATATAATAATACATACAATCATTTTCAATAAGCTGGTCATATGTAAACTCAAAGTAACTCGCAACTAGTAGTTCAATTAATGTAGTGGAGTAAGAAGTATTTTCCTCTGAACTGTAGTAGAATAGAAGTATTAAGTGGCATAAATTGGATATACTTAAGTAAAGTACAAGTACTCAAAATTCTACTAAAGTACTCGAGTAAATGTAGGCCTACTTTCCACCACTGCATTCACTGACCACATTTGACATCAAAATCTTGGTGGTCCCAGACAATTAGAGTCAGGGGTTAAAGTGGCATTTAGGATACAAAATAAAAATATAAAAGAAGCTTTTCCTTTAAGCCCCATGTAGATGTAACAAAAATAGAAAAGCTTTTAATATCCTTTTCTTTTCAAACACGTTAAAACTGAATGTGTTTAACTCTGAGTCTTATTTTTAACTCCTTTACTCCTATTTATTTGGTCTTGGCACACATTTTATCATTTATCTATTTGCTCTGTGCAACATTTTCCTCTTCACATTTCATCAGACTGTGTGGTTAGTTAGCTCAACTGAAACCAGTGACCAGCTAAACACATTGATCAGTCATTTCAGCGAGCTATCTCACTGAAGCTGCACATAAAACTACACCAGACAGTGCAGTTCATTATAATCATCCATATCAGTATAATATATATCATTGTACTTACAGTAACGTTCAGAGTTTTTGTCAACTCCAGTAATGTTACCCAGAGGTGGGATCCAGTCATTGTTTTATAAGTCACAAGTCAAGTCCCAAGTCCTAAACTTTGAGTTTTAAGTCCTATCATGTACTCTTCACCAAGTGTAATGTAATGTCACAACAGAGTGATAATATACTATAATTACATAAAGTGTAAGTGCAACTGAATTTAATCATAAAAAAGTAGTGCTGACATGGCACTACCATAGCATATAGCACTATATTAGCTTATTAGTCTTTTCCACAGAAGACATTGGCAGGAGGAAAAGCACAGGTGTCAGCCAGGGTCCTGGTATTGTGCAAGCTGCTGGCTCATTGTCACACTGTCAAGACTTAGTAGGAGACTTAAACAGAACAAAGCCATCGTTAATGTTATTAGTACTTATTAATACCTACCTGTGTGTTTATTATAAGCCAAAATGTCTCCTGTGAAAAAGTCCTCATCATTTTTTTTTCTCACATAAGCTGAGAAAGCAGTTAAAACTGCTTTTGTAATTTTGGATTTCTACAGCAATTTGTGTTGCTGTTTCTGCACACGACTGAGTCAAAGAACAGTAGATCACAATTGAAATAAGATTGAATTGATGTAAGTTTACCCTTTCACCACTGGGTGGCAGTAGCACATCAACTTTTTAAAGGATGGATTTTTATGACATCCAGGTGACCATGATGTCTTGTTCAGTTTATAAGCTCTTGTATGAGTTTACCACAGAATAAATCCTGTAGCATTGCAATGGTTCATAATGCATTCATGTCAAAATCATTCACATTTGTATAAATATTGTTTAAGAAGTGATTGCATTGTGTCTGCCACAAGCAGTTCCTGACCCTGTGTCTGTGCAACACCTGACACCATCAACATGCATGATTTCAGTCCTCGTGCTAGAGATGGAGCTCACTCTGCAGAATGGTTGGTTTTGAATCGTGCTGTATTAGAGCTCCTGTACTCTTTATCTTCAAGGCCTTTCGGCGCTTCCCAGGCTTAGAAGCTGCATCAAATAAGACTTTGTATTGTTCAGATTGAATGAAGCGTGGGAAGGAGCCATTCTCCATCAGGCTATAGATTTTCCTCTCTGCCACAACAAAACATGATGGACTTGGTTGCTCGAGACTCTGGCTGATGATCTCTCTTGTGTAGAAATCTAGGTTTACCTGCAAAGACGTGTTAAGCAGTACAGTGAACATGCTGTTTCAATTTAGTCATTGACTATTTACGCAGTATGTGCAGCCATCTGCATCATTACCGCAGTTGAAAAGTAACTATTTAAAACACTGGCTGCTGTGGTTAATGTACAGTAAATTATACAGGTCAGTGTAGGAGTTTTTCTATTTATTGAGATTATTGCCACTCTTGTAATAAACACATTAAATATTCATGTGCGAACTAAGTTTTCCCTACGCTTAGATTTGGGTTTGAGCATCTAATAGAGTTTGTTTTCACCTGTTTGGGAGACTCTGCCCTGATGAACTCTTCATAAATACTTGTTGCTCTCTGTTTCAGCTCCTCTGGGCTGTCAAAGTTTTTGAACTCTTGACAGGCGAGCCAGAAGTCCAGATTTTCCTCACAGAACTCTGATTTCATAAAGTCCCGAAATGCTGCATGTCCACCTTTTACACAAGGAAACATAACTGCATTATAAATAAAACAGTAATCAGCCATGATATTAGTTTTGTATTGCTTGAAAGCAGATGAAAATTACGTTTCTGGGAAAGGAGTGCCTCAAGAGATTCTACCAGCAGGCTTGTTTGATTTGTTTCTTGTCTGTAAACAGAGGAAATGGAAGGTTTTTGGATTTGTTCACATTTGAAAGAAGAAGTTAGACAGAACAATATTAATATGCAGAATGATAATATTAACAACAAAAAAAACACCTGTTGATTTTCCTCCATGGTAATGGACTCTGGATGAAGCTATTTATTTTGGATTTCCATGTGTTATGTCTACAAAAGAGGATAACAGTAGTATTAGTAGTATTAAGAAGGCTTAAAATAAATCTCATTGCATTGCAAATGGGATGTACTTTACTTACATTCTCTTTGTGTCCTGAAGGTCAAGAGATGTCTCAGAGAGCCCGTTCATTGTTGAATATGAATAACATTACCTGCACTGTGAATTATATAATATAAATAAATATAATAATTTGATGCTATCTCTCAGTGTGCATGATGCTCTGTCAGATTTCCAACCTCACAGCTTCACCACTGGATCCTGACTGCCTCTTCTCACTGACGAGGGTCAAAGCCAGAGTGGATTCCAACTATGATGTCAAGACATCAAGTTTCTTCCTGAGCAACAAGTCTTAGCACTTTTACCCCTTGTGTCTGTGTTATCTTTAACCTCTGTTGACATACTGCCTGATTGTTGCGTAATTAGAAGGAGCCACATGAATACTCAAAGTGCGTCAAACCTTGTGCTCTTCCTTAATGTATCACAACCCCCATCACATTCTCCACAGTTAAATGCATTACATAGACTGTTGATAGTCATTCAGTCTCTTGTTGTTGTTTAGCTCACCATTTAAGTCTGTGCTATTTTTAATCAAAGGTCAAATGGTCACGAGTTTCTTTTTTCTTTTTCTGTGCTGCTCCTTCTGTGTGTCTTTCTTTTACAGTTTCTGGATTACATCCCCTTCACTATCACTGTTGGTTCCTCATATTTTGCCTTTTTTCTTTCAATTTAAAATACTGTTTATTTCATGATGTTACATTCAATTAAATTAACAGCATTTTAAGGGTGTTTCAAGGTTCCTTGTAGACCTTGTCAGTTTTGCAAAAACAAAAAAACAAAAATATGCCTCTATACAGAATAATTATTAATCAGTTAGGATCATAAAACATGTACATGTGTACATGCATGTGTTTGTGTACTGGAAACTGTGTTTTTGAAACAGTGGAACATCAGAAGTTGTGATATAAAAAGTGAAAGTTGGTTTTCTGGAAGGGGAATACCTGGAGTCTTGTCTTGTCTAAACAGACATTATGAGATAATGATACATCCTATAATGGGGGTAAATGTGCAGATTGCTCAGAACCAAATTAGTTTATTTTCCCTTTATGTAGTTATTTATTTGGTATTATATGTGTTTTTATAAGGGATGCAAGGGTGGGAGAGGAGATGGGATCTGGGACAGAGATAGGGGGTAGCAGAAATATTGATTCGATATTGCTTTGATTCCTTTGGAAAGTAATTACTGTAATGAATAGTAACTATTAAAAAAAAGCATACCAACGCCAAGCGTCGACAGCTAAAAGCTTATGTCAGCATGCTAAGATGCTCACAATGACAATGCTAGCATGCTGGTGCTAAGCAGATAATATTTACCATGTTTATTATATTAGTTTACTATGCCAACATTTACTGATCAGTACTTAACACAAAGTATAGCTGTGTCCGATTGAAATATTCTTAAGTTCTGAGGGTATCTGGTGATAAACTATAGTCTTGGACAAATTGGAAAAGTCAAATTCACCCTGAGGGGGACATGAATGTCTGTACTAAATGTCATAGCAATCCATCCAACAGTTGCTAAGACATTTCACTCAAAAACATTTGATGTAATATCAATCTGCTGGTGGCACTAGATGAAAAATCAGGGGACCAAGAAAGTCATTAGGATAGGCTTACATCGTCTGGGAACAATGAATGTCTGTACAAAATTTCATAGTAAACCATTTAGTATCAGCATAATATATTAGTCTAGACCAAAGTAGTGAACCCCAGCCTGAGAGGCTGACATTTCAATCCCTACAGCCACTCCACTAGCAGGGCTAAAAATGTTTTGTTCACAAGCTCAAATGCAGCATTAACTGATGGCTCTGTGTAAGAATCTGAAAGTGAGAATTACTTCCTCTTTTTTCTGGCTCTTTATCAAAAAGATAGTCAAGTTAATGACGTAATGACAACCAGGCATTAGATTGATTAAAATGTACACGTGGAAGGACTGCTCTTTTAATAAACTCTCAGAGTTAAAAATAAAACCTAATCAGTGAATGAATGTGGGCTTTGCAGTGAATGGAACATGAACAAGAACTGTTGAACAGAACATCACAGTGAATGACACGCTACAGACACCACACAAACCAAACAAAAACCGGTCTGGACAAGATTGAACTTGAACTTGCCACTGAAACAAGGGCTTGCTGCACATTAGTATGTGGTTTCCAGGACCAAAACTGTGTTGATCAGGAAGTAGCTGTGAGAAGGAAAACCTGCAGATTCATACACATCCAAAAGTGAGCAGTAAAATTTTTATAACCTGTGCTTTGAATGCGTTTTGTAACCCCTAAAAACAAAGCAATGTCTACTACCGACCCCTCGTCAATGGTTGACCAAAGATTCTTAGATGTCTCTCTTAAGTCCATACAAATATAAATTTTAAAAATAAGTGAAAAAATGTGGTTGTGAAACTGATACATTTTAGTGAATTTTAGAAAATCCGGCTTCTTTACTCTTCCTGGCTTTGTTTCAATAAAATATCTGAAAAAAGTGAAACTGCATCAGAAAAGTTATCTCACCCATGTTGACTTAAAAACTCAGAAAGGGACCATATGAGTTAATACGAACCTTTTTGTAGGACACATGACTGATTAATAGGGTCATTGCTGAGGAAGTAGTATAAACACAGGAAGAGCAGAGAAGCAAAACAGAATATCTAGGTCTGCTTTCGCATGAGTGTTACACCATTACCTACATAAAACCAACGTAATCACACGTACTTATGACACAGGGACTAGAATATGCAACAAGGTGTTACTGTTTGATCTGTGAGGACAACTCCGCATGGGTCAGCACCCTCTTTGATCATCGCCATCGTCATTTTAAGCTTTTGTAGTCTATGTGACTCTCACAAATAATTTAGTGAAAATATGCACCATATAAAACTCTGCTATTCTAAATTAAGAAGTTATATAACCTCTATTATACTGTAGATATAAATATAGACCCTAGATTTGCATGATAGGCTTTGAGCATTGAAGTCACTTGGGTATATATGCAGCTATGGCAGCCAACAGAAAAAGGTTTTACAATGTCTCATTTGCAATTCACATTGGTGAAGCCTGTATAATTGGGTTTAACATAATAAAATGAATGTTAACATGCATGGTAAAGTAGGTTTTCTTTGTGTGCTTTAGCTTCCTCTTGCAGTCCAAAGACCTGCTGGACTAAAGACTCTGTATTCAGGTTTCCCTATCTTCCAACTCAGGCATCCTGGGATAGATTTTATAGACAGAAGACCAAGCCGCCAAGAAGAGCGCCAGTCTTTGCAGCCAATTTAACCAAATGGCATCCGTCAAGTGATGCACACTGGCCCAAAATGACTTTTTCCCATATGCAATGTATATTGTGACAGTATGTGAAGCGTCTGTAAAACAAAACAAAAATGTATACATTCATCCAGATAATTTCTTTAGAGCGGGAAATGTTTTTTTGGCTTCATGTGCCACTGAGCAACTTTCATAGCCCACCATCAGATCAAAATGTGCCCAATACTTTGGTTTATGACCAAATACCTACAAAACAAATGACATCTCCATCATCCTCAGCTGTATATAAACTTGTAAACATTGTAGCCTGCCTGCTAAACATCAGTAAGCATTGGCATTGTGAGGTGAGCATGTTAACGTGCTAATGTTAGCTCGAAGTACCATAGGGCTGACGTACAGTTCACCGTGGTCTCACAGAGCTGCTGTCTGACTCTTTGTCTGGTTTCTCTGTGCTGCTTTGCCATATCAAACCCTGTGTGAACCCAGTTGTCCTTCTGTTTATACTTACATTTTGTAACAAACTACTGTACTTTATGTATTCAAATGATTGTTTTAATCTTAAAGATTTAATTGGTTATAACACTGATGGTATTTGACTCATCACCTCATGTTTGACTGAAAGAGATTTTTATCTGATGGAAAATTTCCACGTTGGAACATTTTTTCACCTGCGACTGAAATAGACCTAAAACAAAGCCTCCTTTGTGGAACTGGTCGAGCAACATCACACAGTAATCCAGTGACCTCTTGTATACAACCCATGTGGTTCCAAAAGGATGACTTCTGTCTTATGACACACATGGCAGTTAAACCTTTGGCTTTCAAAAAATACAATTCAGTTTCAATGACTGAATGAGTAGTATGTAGTATGTAGTGGATATCCTCAAAGTTTTACACCAGTGATTTGTAGATATGTGTCATTGCATGAAAACTCCTGTGTCTCTGATGTGACCTCATTTTGTTGGTTTTTTTACAGCTTCTCATGGTCATATGACTAATCTATCGCATGATCATCTTGTTACTAATAAATAGAGCCAGTGCAAAAGAGGAAATGATGACCAGTCAGGCAATGATCCATTCACGTCAGTTTAACACTTAAGCTGCATCTGAGTTAAAAAAAGCCTAACGACCTGTGTTAAAAATAAAAAGGATGCTGAAAGCTTTTTTGGCCAAAACACAAAATAAATGTGGTGCCTTTATACTGACAGGTTTTTGTCTATTACTCTCTATTATTTGTTGATTGTGCTTTTGGCTAAGCATGTGTGCTTATAGAAGGATGAACGAGTGAGATTAAAAGAGGATGTAAGCAGTTCTTAACACTTCTCCTTATTTTCTATAACCTTTAACGGAGTGATACTTGATGTGTTCCCATAGATAAACTTCCTTTTTGGGGCTTTTTTTGTGATACAAACGCAGTTTCAGTTTTAAACCTTTCTGTTCCTTTGAGAACAATTTGTAAAGGTGACGTCTGATTGCTACACTATAGTGATAAATGAAAGACTGAATTGTAAAACAAAGGCTGAATGACTCGTAGAATGAGAAGTGCTTGAAACACATTCAAAAGCATGAAAGGCTAATGGCTGATGAAAGAGGACTCACTGTGGTCCTAGCTGTCAACCCTTTAAACCTCATTGATCCTCATTTCCTTATTTCAAATTGTAGTTGTACCCTCAAAGTTCCCAAATATACCAAGTGTATAAGGCTGAATGTTGGGGGAATTCACGACAACGTGATGTACGAAAGAAACATTTCATTTCAATTTGACTGAATTGCACAGCCATTAAAAACAGTCTTTGGTTTCACTCAGTGTAAATACTGCTGCTTCAGTGAGGAGCAGTGACAGCAGAGACTAAAGTACATAGTGTCAGATAATGTGAAATCCAATCTTGAGGCTGTTTAACCAGGGTATGAACTATGGGGGAGCCAGAGGGAGCTTGGCTCCTCTTAATAAGAGATGAGCTCTTCAGAAAACATGGTTTGTGAATTATTGGGGTCGTAAAATTAGAATATTATTGATGTATAATTCCTGCATTAGGGTGATTCCTCATTAAATTCACTTTAATAAAGATACAGAAATGCATGCTGTTCTTGCACCTTTGATTGCAATTTTATAAACTTCACTCACTTTACTCTAACATCTTTCTCAGTGCCACCCATTCATTTCTCTGTTTTGTAGTCAGAATACTGTAAGTGAGCTACCCAGAAGGCCATGGTATAGTTCGCACACTGTGTTTAATGGAAAAAAAAAGGGGGAAACTGTATGTTAAGGGTTATTGAAAATATTTTGGAAAATATTTGCTTTCTTGCTGACAGATTGATACCCATTTCAAATATGCTTAGTATGGTATTGCCAGCTGCTGGTTAGCTTAGTTCAGACTGAAAACAAGGAAACAGCTAGCCTGGCACGGTTCAAAGCTATTCTATTTTTGTATGATTCAAACATATGAGATATAAAGTGTAAATTACACGCGTTTGAAAAAAAGGATATAGTATAACATGTTAATTAGTGAGATATAGAGGTGATCGTAGATACATTTTTAAGCCTTTGGAAACAGCCAGACTAGTTCTTCCAATTGTTGTGCTAAGCTAAGCTAACTGGATGCTGGCTGTAGCTTTATATTTACAAATACGAGAGTGGGTAATCTTCTCATCTAACTCTCAGCAAGAAAACGAATAAGCGTATTTTCCAAAAATGTCAAAATGTTTCTCTAAGTGAAGTTTGAAATGTATCAACAAGGATATGTTTCAGACATATGAAGAACTGTACACTGTGCAGTATTGGAGAGAGTATGAGTAAGCACTCCTGTGCTGCTGTAGACATGTCTAAACTCAAAAACCACCAGGCGGTAAATAACGTAACTGTGAGTAAATATGTGAATGAACTAAAAAATGACTGAATGACTGAATGAATGAATGAATGAACTGTGACTAAGTTACTTCCAGGATTCTTAAGGTGATGTGTATCTAGATTGATGGGAACTTGACCTCCTTTGTGCCTGTCTGTCTATCTATCTGTACATCTGTACATCTGTACATCTGTACATCTGTACATCTTTACATCTGTACATATAAAATTATTTGTCAGATTTCAATGCCAGTGTAATATTTTGTTTATTAAATATGTACAAATCCATCTTAATATTTACATTCATAACATTGTGATAAACTGTGGAACACATTTTAATATATAGCTTATAACTAATTATTTTAGCTGCAACACATCAGTTATTTCACTGTGACAGCATTGATGTCAGAATGTAAAACCTCTAAATGGATAACACCACACATAAAAATCCACATCTTGCATCTACTTATCTATTGCTTTAGTGAGATAACAAACTTAAGATGGTGTGCAAATGTAGATACCAGCTCATGCACTTGCATCTTGGGTGGAAGTTGTTGTTTGCACCACATACACTTCCTGGCGTCTCTCACAGAAAGTACCCGGTATTTTCACGACATAATCGTGGCATGTCTGGGAAATTTCCTAACTTACAGGGGCTATCACAGCAGCTTCTAGTGATTCATGTACAACTGTAGCTGTAGAACATTTTTGGCTCTGACCCATCTGTTTCCATTATATCAGCTGGTTTTCAACAAACCCTCTTTGTTTTTGTTTTACTACAAAGCTGACCTTCCCTCTCACAGAGTATATGGGCATGGCCAACCTCAAAGCACATCCTCTTCAACTCACAAGTAAGGCACGAATGTGTTGAAAATGAAAAAATGAGTTTTTGGTGCTTTTGGTGTTAACGAATCACCAACAGTCGTCCCAAGATGAGCAAACACACAACACAGCTTCTCTCAGGTAGTCCAGCATTGGGCTTAGGTTCACAGTCCAGTGTCTATAAACACACTGTCTCTGGTATCTGTTTTCTTTACATCTTCACAGATTCTGATGTGGAGTCCAGTAGAGCCTGATAGATGTCAGACCTGAGGAAACGTGGGTAAGAGTCCCTCTCCATTAGCCCATAGACGATCCTCTGGGCATCATCGAAGCACACTCTGGTGGGCGCCTTAATGTTCCGTCTGATCAAGTCTCTGGTCTTGTGATCAATGTTGATCTGGAAGCATAGGAAAAATAATGAGGACCATAAATTCAAAAGTAGAAGCAGAGGTGGTGCATATTGTGAAGAGAACTGTAAATCTGTCTGCATTACAAGAAACCTCTGCACATACCTCTCTCACAGCCTCAGCTTGAATGTAGCGTTTAAAGATCTTTTTTGCCCTGGAGGACATCCTGAAGGAAGATTTGATCTTCTTGTAGTCCTCACACATCAGCCAAAACTCTATGTTTTCATCACTGAACTCTGACTTCAAGAAGGCCTGGAATATCTTCATGCCATCTACACACATGAACACAAAATGAACAGCAGTTAGACAGTGTTGAGGAAGAATACTGACTATGAAACTTGACTATGGGACTATGTATTGATAAACTCACATTTGGATGATAGAAGTCTCTCTAGTGAGTGTGACCACTGGGACATCTCCTCGTAACAAAGCCTGCAAGAGAGGGGTGCGGTGTCAGTCACATAAGCAACAAGTATGTCAGCAGTTTGATATTTAGTTTCCAAAGAAGTTTTCTTCACTTACCCATCCGTTTTAGGGTGTTGACACGATCTAAGTCGACACTTCATGTTTCCTCCCCTGGTTAACCAAACACATTTATTTTACTAGCATGTTCTTCTTGAGGTTAATCAGCCATGACACAAAAAAGTAGATCAGTGCAGTGCATCAGTTATAATAAAATGCTTACCTGTCTTTTCCCCTGTCCTTGTTGTCAGCATCCATAGTTAAGTGCTGAAGCTGCCTTGGTGGTGATGTGACTAGACTTGGCATGGCAACAATACTGTATACATGTGTGACTGTGTTGATTGAGATCCGCGTCTGCCACTGTGTCCTCTTAGCATCAACTTATATATGCACAGCAGAAGTCTGAAATGAGGTTGGTGCATAGTGTCACAACATCATTGTGAACTAACCACAGAAAAAGAGGAAGTTGGGTATGACGCAAACTTGTGCAGACTGTAATGATAGCTGCCTGACTGTACTGTACTTTGATCTGCATCATTACTTGTTTGGCTTAAAGTCTGGCGATGCAAATTGGGTTGTGGAAAATTCTGCAGCAGATAGGCAAATGCTTTAGTCTTTATTCCAGTCTGCCTCAAGAACCAATGCCACTGTTTTAGGTTTTGTAAACACATTGTGACCTAAATGCTGAGACTATTTCAGTACTCTCACAGCAAAATGTAAGTAAAACAAGTAAAGATGTCCTCTTAAGTTTAAGCACTTTATATTAGTGAAAAAGCTAATGATTGCATCTGTGCAGGAAAGAAACAGTGGCATCCTGTCACTTACAACTACACCTTTCACAACATCACATTTCCTTTAAAGTGAAACTATAGTACTATTGATAGAAGAAATAAGACATTTGGCCTTTAACAAGTTTAAAAGTTGAACTTATAATCAATAAAATGCACCCTTGCTCAATTTAATACACCCAGGGGCCTTTACTGCTATTCACTGTATTAAGACTCTTTCCTCCTTTGCTACTGTTACTCTAAGTTTTAACATTTACCATCATCTTATAATTGTCACTTATAGTGGCGGTGCCAGCTGCTCAGCCAAAGTTACATAGTCTTACTTTAAGATGCTCTCACATTATGGTGCAATCACACTAAATGCATTGTGTTCTTTGGTTTCATAAGTCTCTCAGCTCCTGTACCGCACCTGTCTAGAAATGACAAATTGTTGTATTATATTTGTAATATTCATATTTGTTTCTTCAGTAATACCTTAGCATACATGTAATGTATTCCTTCAACATCTCTGTGGGGGGCACACTATTGACTTAGGAAAACTAACATGCAATTCTCTGAAGTTAGCATTTCTGACCTCGCTTGAATCTTGTTTTGCCTCTGACAGAAAAATACCCTTAAACCACACAAGAACAACACAAGTTCAGTCTTGCTTTGGGTCAGTTTGAATGTTCTCTTTCAGCTAAAGACTTGTTATATAACTTAAATCATGTGTTTCTTTTCATTTTCTTGTTTGATACTTGACAGTGGAGTCAGATAGAAAATACACAGGGAAACAGAGAGGGGGATGATATGAAACTAAAGGTCACCCACCGGAACCAAAGCAGGGACACTGTGGTTGTGTGGTATTCGTCTTACCCCTCGGTGTTTCCACTTTAGAAAGATTTGAAGTTTATACATACAGGAGGTATAATGAGATCTCTGTGTCACATAGGTAAAACAAGATATCAGTGGCTTAAAGCTCTGGTGTAATATCGGGAAATCTATTTTATCATCTTAATATCTTTTCACTGTAGAGATTAGAAGATTCAGCTCTAACTTGTATGTCAACATCAAGTAAAACCACTAATATCACTAATACACCGTTTTCACAGCAGCCATTTTGACATTGAAATAGTAGGGTAAAACACAGGTGTTACCAGTGATTACTAATTAAGGCTTGTTCCATTTAGTGTAGCAGAGATTTTTCAGTGAACTAACATGCACAACAGCAGTACAGTGGTCCTGTTTGACCTGAATGGAATAGAACCTTAAATAGAAGCTCCCCCTCTGTCTGACTGCAGACTGCACATGCCCTTACAGAGTGGTAATTCAGGACTGTTTCATTCACTTCCTGCTACAGTGTTCACAGGAAAAAAAACAAAGCTCTCACCTGTCATTTGAACATTTCCCCTTAATGGAACCGTTTTTAAAAGAAAATGTAATCAGTCCTCTGTTTTTCTTTGGTTTATAAATGTCTCAGGTGCAAGTCCTGTCCTTTCTGCTCTGTACCAGTGATGTTAGCAATGTCACACTGCAGATCTGTTTTTTTATGACTGATACTCAAGCTGTCCATAATTATCTGCTTGTATCAAATTTGAGATTCAATTCTAATCCATGTACATCTCAGCTCTTGAGTCAAAAAACATCTATCACAAAGCTGCTCAAGGGGGGTCCTTCAGAAATCAATACTTAGATTCTTAAAAAATTTGATTTCCTGAATATATGTCAACCTTATCACATCTTCTTTATAGTTCACATTGTCACATCTTTAATATGGACAATATGTAATAAAACAAATCTATGCCACTATGTGTATCATTTCTAGTATTTCCTACGCCTTATTATGTAAGAAATACACTGTGGAAGTCAGCAGTGGATACCACTTCCAAAAACCTCCTGACCCACCTTTTTGTCAATCAAGCCATCTGTGTCGAGATCTGAAGCTCAAGAAAACTTAAACATAAAAATTTAAAGAGCAGTGTTTATCCCTGCAAATCTGGAAACTTTCATACATGCTTTCCTCCGTATCTCGTGTGGACTAATTTACTGTAATACTATCTACAACTGCAGTTGTTAATGTTGTTGCTGCACTAAAAATCCATATTACTGTTGAATCCCTTCAGTAGTGACCTGCATATTTTAGTATCAATTTGAACCTTTTACTGTGTCATTTTTAAGCACATATAAGTCTGGCTCTCACTTGAGCACTGAGGAGCACAGGTGATGTAGCCTTAGCTATTAGGGCCCCCAGACTAACAGACAGACCAACATTTTCCTCCCTGGAGCTGCTATATGGCTAAAAACTTGAGTGACCTCACCATTATCCATAGGCCTGTCTGTTCTGTATCTGTTCAACCAACTAAATTATTTGTATTCCTGTCCGTACTCAGAGTGAGTGGGGCTTGACCCAGATGTTCCGATATAATTTTTTCCTTTCTGATACCTCAACTTTTTTGTATCGGCCGATGCTGAGTACCAATCTAATACATGTGCGTTAAAAGACAGCTATACTGTATATATAGTGTCATCATATACTCTCATGAAACTCACTCAGCTTTATTAAAAACCCTCCTGTGGAGATGAATCATTAAACTCAGATGTAGGTTGAGCACAGAGAAACTTTCCCCCCTTATTTGAAAATAGCCTTCTAGTGTTAAACTCTGCACATAAATCCTTTTGCACAGTTCTGAGACTTTCTACAGAATTTTATCACTTTTACTTTTTATGTTGTAATTTACTTTATCCTGATTTATTTGATCTACCATGCCTGCCATTGTATTGTACTGCTTTGCTTTCTGGATTTACAGCTGCATTATTACATATTCATAATGTAGCTTTGACAACACTAGATGTAGGCATGATGTTGACAGTGATGAACACCTTCAAACTTTCAAGCAAGTTTCAAGTCTCTACAATTTCCATACTGTTGTGGAACAATTGAAAACCATAGCAACACATTTAAGTGTGTACAAGAATGCATATACATTTTCAGGAAATGCAGAGAACATGCAGTTTGGAGTGAATGCATGAGCAAAAGCATGTTTAAAAAGTGGAAAGACCCATTAAGAAGTTTAAGTGTGCTATAGAATATATAGCATATGTTTAGTTTAACAAGCTGCAAGCCTGATGAATGTATAGTGTCACATAAAATATGGTGTTTAAGAAAACTTAATGAGCTGCTGTTTTGTCACATTGTCCATGTTAATGTTAGTTTGTTTGACAGGAAATGTGAATTGTGTCAGAACGCAGATGTTGATGGCTTGCTGTGGTGACAAAAACTGTTATCTCAGAAATGTTCTTTATCGGAGACAACACCCGTCTGTGGGTTTCCTCTATCAACTGTTGTCACTGTGAGAGTTATAACTTTTCTGAGTTTCTTTCATTTTTATGTCTTCCTCATTTCCTGCTAGCAATGTCTGCTGCAGTTATGCTGCGCGTTGCTATGCGTCATAACGACAAACGCAGACAAAACACTTTTTTTTCATAGTACCCAACAAACTCAACCCTTTCTCCCACAAAGAGGTGATTGCAACCAGAGTTGTCTAAACGAGGGGAAGTTGTGGCGAGCTGTCTGCACAACACAAGCACAGCAGCACCTTAAAATAAATACCGTACATTTAATGCCGCCAACACAAACAGAACAAAATGTTCGTCTAACACCCAGTAGTCACATGGAGAAACCCCGCTGTGCCTACTTCCACTTTCCAAACTCAAAAACACACCAGACAATGAACACCTTATAGTTGTACATGCAAAAGGAGAACAATGTAACTGTAGCATTTTATGCTTCGTGTTTAATTTAAATCCTGCATGCTGAGTTTACCCTCATTTGGGGATCTGAACATTATGCCTAAAAGTTGGTGTCTTGGGAACACAGCTTTGTTGTGCTCTTTTGCATTTGCATACTTTTTACATAGACGATTATATAAGCTTGTAATTTTCACAATGTGGTTCATACTATTTAATACCAACACTAATCTTCCTTTGAAGGAATGTATACATACAGGACAATGAACTAAGCTAGAGATGATTTTTCCATCACATGGACAAGTTCACAGATTTTTTTTGGTGATGAATGAATCCGCCTGGCAACATGAAACCAACTGAATTGCCACTGAAACTGCCCTTCCACCCACCCCTATGTGTCTGGCATTTCAGGCAAATTTAACACCAGACTGATTCATACAGTTCCTCTTCACAAAATCCTTAATGCACCAACTTATTTTAACCGCAGCTGAGAGGTTGCAGAAATACCCCACACAAAGTAAGAGGAAGTGTGAAGCCTTTTTTTCTTCCTTTTTCTTCTTGTCTTCTTGTTTACTGAATGATGTTGCTTGAAGGACTCTGTTGCCATCTGGTGTATCTTTTGACCAATGACCATATTGCAGTATACAGTCTTCTCTTACAGCAGCAGGTGAGGCGATTTGCATTACATTCAAAAGGACCACACCCAAATGTCATTCAACTGAGTATATTTAGTTTTAGATATTTCAAAAACTACAAAGTAAATGAAAAAGGAAACATTTGACAGAGCAAGAAACTGAGACAGATGTTTAACAATACACTCACATTTTTATTTGTATGTGAAAGTTGAATTTCTTAGAGCATATTAGGATTTATGTTTGAATAATCAATTAGATAAAGTGTTGATAATACTTTACAATAAAGAAATTATTTTTTATTATTAACCTCATAGGGTGGAGGAGAAATAGATAATTATAGAAGAATTATGTGCACAGTCTCTTTAAAGAGTTTTTTTTTATTTTATTTTTTTTACCTTAACATAATTAAAGAGATAAAGTATAATACAACCCACAAATTCTCTTAAGCTGTAACTGTCTACTGAATCACACAGGTTGGGAAAAGCTATTTCTGCTACACTTAGGATCTGGATTGTATGGCATGAACCCGTTATCCACACTGAAATGAAAGAGTGCTACAGCAGATCAGAGTTGGAGAGAAGATTTCGTGAGCCTCCATCTGAGAGGCTATCAGTTTTAAAACAGTCACCTTGAATCGGTTCTCCTCAGGAGTCCCTGATAGATGTCAGATTTTAGGAACCGCGGGTAGCAATCCCTGGCCATCAGACTGTAGATAAGCTTCTGTGCTGAATCAAACGAAGTCAGGGTCGGCTGGGAGATGTTCTTTGTTATGTTTTCTCTGGTACCACAATCTATGTTGATCTGGAATCAAACAATATTGCTCAGGGGCGTCTCACTGCAACTCTTTTCATCATCATTCACTATAATATGCACTATAACAGTGCACATAACATTCTGCAATTATACCACAATAAAACTCACAAATACACTGATTTATATCACTATAGGCCGGCTAAATTCAGATTACAATCAATGACCAACTTGTCTTTTTTTTCCAGTTACCTGTTTGGGTGCTTCTGTTTGGACAAACTCTGAGTAAATCCTGTTGGCAGAGGAAATCATCTCGGGGACTGTCTTGATTTTTTTGTACTCCTCACAGGCAAGCCAAAACAGTATGTTCTCCTCGCTGTACTCGGACTTCAGGAACTCACGGAAAGCTATCTGTCCGGCTGGAAATGACAGAGGACATTAAGCAGGTAGCAAGTGTATATACAATCAAATATGTACAATCAGAAGAGACTCACCTTTACAACTGAGGACTTTGTCCACAGACTCACTCCAAGTTTCAACATCCTCCAGTGGATCCTTGGGGAAGCAACACAATCTACCCTTGAAAAGAGCATCAAGATCTATCACTAGCCCAGTTATCTGTAAACTTCACAGCACATACCACCTGCAAACCCAACTTGCAGGCCAAATTATGAATCATTCATACTATGTGACATATTGGATTTTAATATCTCTTGTAAACATTCAGTTTAATGCATTGAGCACCTGACAGCATCCTCCCAGCACTACAAGTCCCTTCACAAATAAAGGCACAATGCAAGGTGAGACTTACAGTGAGTGAAAAACTCCTTGGTATTTTCCACATGGCTGCTGTAAGCTGTTGCCTGCTGAAAATGGTAAAGGCCCAATAATCAAATATGCATTAACTCACTTTATCGCCATCTCCTCGTCCTTTACGAAGGGAGACAGAGATAAGATCCTGCCAGACTGAAGATGGGGTTGTGATTGTTTGGAAATGAGGGAGTCAAGTGACTCAACAAATCTAAATGACCCCCACCCAACATGAATGGAATATATGGAAATCTTTATGCAAAATGGTGTTGTTGGGAGAGACAGGGCATCCTTCCATGTCTGTCGTACCTTGAAGAGAAGAGAACTGGGTTGTGATTTAAGCTGGCCGCACATGTTGTCCAAAACATTGATTATCATTAACATGAATGTGACAATATGAGGTTGGCAGATACGTTCATAGATCACTGAAGAATACATTTTAGATTATTGAATACTTTGTCATCACTTAGTAAGGACATCAGGAATATGGTAACGTAATGGCCTGTTGTGGTATAGCACTGCATTTCAAATTCAGAATAAGATTTAACTAAAGCAATGAGCAATGGTCAGGAAGCATTAGGAGAGATCCTGACCACAAACAAATAACCATAAACAAATTCACTATTAAGGAAAAGGCTCGTCATCATACCATTTGCATATCCCCAGTGTTACTTATTCATCAAGGCGACAAAGAATAAACAAGCAGTGATTTATTAATATGGCTCATATGACATCTTCAGTTCATGTAGGTGATCACTGACTCTTGAAACAAAGGTTGTGATTTGGATTAGATTAGTCAGCCGTGGTGCAAATCTGCACTGGGTTTGGAATAAGGAGAAGTAAACGTCAAAAATCACCATTGCTCATGTGATCTTGTGAGGCTGCCAACGACTTGAGAGAACTCAAGAAGTTTGTATGATTACAAAGTTAGCTGAGTCAGAGTTAAACATACTGTACACTGACTATATAACACTATATCCAATAAATGTGGGTTTAATTACATTGAATGACATAGTTTATCTGACATCTGCATTCAAATATATACACTCATCTGGGTAATTTTTCAAAAGTAAGTGGCTTTTTCGGCTTCATGTGCCACTGAGCAACTTGAATCCAACACTGTATCCAGTTCTCCTATATACATCCATGGTGGTTTCACATTATACGTGTGTCTATTGTCTGCTTTTCAACTTCCATCATTAGATGTTTGATTTCAATGATTTAGTGTCTACTAAAATATGTGTGGCATACTTTGAAAGCGGTTAAATACTGTGTGATAATGTATTCTCGTGATTTAGAATAAATGGATGGAAAAAGATATTTCTGTCATATGATCATGAGCTAGATGTGGAGGATTGTCCTCCGCTTCTATGGGTCTGTTGGTTGTATAGGTCATGTCATACACTGAATCATAAAAAACATATTATCATAAGTATGTCCAGTGCATTATAACCTGTGATGACCTTCCTGACCATTGGTGGAGGCATGATGGGCCCAAACAAACCAAGAATGTAAATCACAGCAGGTGATGGAAAACACCCAGGCTGCCCCTATTTGCATGTGTGTAGATGCACCAGGTCCAGAAATTTGTTTTTCAAAAAAGGCACTGCCAGGAAAGATATGAGTGTCGCCTTTGACTATCCAAGATGTTTTGTCTTGTTGTGATTTAGCCTTTCATGGTCTTACATAAGAAGTTATTCTGATCGGTCAGTGTTACTATCCAAGGACAAAAATGACTCCCTGAATGGGCTCATTTCATAAAACAACATTGATCATTTTCATATTAACATCTACAATGAAATGCATCTCACTAGTGATACAGAATGCACTTCCACTTTGGTTTGTAATTTGTTGATGTCATTTTTTCCACCATACACAGGGTGGCACTCTAGTCCTCTTCAGGTCCCCCATATCTGTTTTAAAACTGTATTATGTGTCCACTTTCTCTGTAACTGACAGGATTGAATTTGGGTGTTTCTCATCGCTGTTGGTCCTGCTTGCTTCATTGATTCGACATGAATAGGGTTTTGACCCTTCTCCTGAAGCTGCTCAGGACCCAGACTGCAGGCCGGGGGTTGGTGTAGGTGCTTCAGTGGTTAGCACTGTTGCCTCACAGCAGGAAGGTTCAAATCCTGTCTGGGGCAGGGCCTTTCTGTGTGGAGTTTGCATGTTTTCCCGTTGTTCGCATGGGTTTCCTCAGGATGCTTTGGTTTCCCCCACTGTCAAAAACATGTATTTTAGGTTGATTTGTGGTCGGTGCCCTTGACCAAGGCAAGGGCTCATGTGACAATAAAGACAACATTTAAATAGATTGCAGATGTAACCTGAAAACCTATTTAACTTAACAGCATGCCTGTGATTCAATTAGTGTAAAAGTCTTTGACCATACTCTACATGTATCATGAAAACAGTGAGCAACAGGGATCCTTAAGTGACCTTCCTTTCTTTTTTTAATGACTTTCACCCTCTCAACAGTAAGTTTGATGATGGCCACTCAATAATATATCTAACCACATAAAGAAAGCTCTCTAAAACACAACTTGAGTTTCAGGAATATTCAGCTATTTATATTTTCTCTTAACAAACTTTCTTTGAAGAAAGTTTCTGTAAAGAAAGGAAACCTGCTACCTATTGATGAATTGAGGGAAGTTGTCCATTAGGCATTAAATTGTATCTTTCTTCCCCCACAACAGGTCCCTCTCAAAATGCTCCCAGCACTTCAGTGGAAGTAGAGTATACAAATTCTCACCTTGAGACTTTGCGGCCTTCTGTTTGCAGTTACAATGAAATGCATTTTGGTCTGTCAATATCTTTGCAGGCCATCAGCATCAAGTGCAAACTGTTTTGTAAGGGGAACATTTTACAACTCAATATCTGAGCCTGGGAGTCAGCAAATCTATTACCAAATTTGGCTCATGTAGAGTTAGATAAAGGCTTTTGAGATGGGACAAACTGGTTCTTTAAATGGGAACGTTTGGTGTAAAAGTTTGGATAACAGAGCCCAAAGGGGCAAAACTTCTGACAGACTTTGGATTAGATTGAGGAATCTTTTAAAAAGAATCCCATTTGTTTGACAAAATCTGCGTAAACCTCCACTATTAGACACCTTACAATAAATCTTTTTGTTTTAAACTCCTCTGAGACTGGTATTCATCTTGTTTTACAAGCCTCATATCTCCAGGCAAACTGCTTTCTTACTGTTTTGTTTCCCTTCAGAGGTTCTACAATACATCTTTAACTTGTGGATGATTTCAGAGGCTTTTAGCGCAGACTGAGTCACAAATTTAAATACCAATGGGAAAGAAACAAGAAATCTGCCAGCAAATTCTTAGCGGGCAACTAATCTTAAGCTGTGATGAATTTGGCAGGCTAGCTGAGCTCCTACCTTTGTTAACACATCATTACATTTCCCTTTCCTTTTCCGACTATTTGTGTGAGAAGACAGCAGGAACTGCAGTATACACATGCCACTGTCGTCTAGATGGATGCATAATTAATGTGAACTGCGAGGTATTCCACGCAGGTTTTTGTAAAATGGCAGTAACTTGGGCTGAGATGGACTTTATCCCTCTGAAGGCTACTAGAAACCCTGACATGTGTGTTAATGAGCTAAACCATCTCTGTGTGTATTTGTTTATACAGCTTTCTGCTGCATACATGTACAGCACTGGTATACATTTATTTCTGCATACATACGCAAGAGTTTGGAGGCAAACATTTCAAATTAATATGTATTTGTCTTTGTAAGAAGTATAGCTTGTGCATACATATACAGTAACATGAATAATTCTGTGCTGGAATGGTTTGTGTTGATAAGGTCCATTAATTTTTCAGTGATTTGGAATAGGTAGCTACACACAATCACAATTTTCCCCACTAGTGTACATATATTATTGCTCCATTTGTCACATTTAGATGTGGTCATTCAGACTAATTAATGACAAAAAAATGGCCTCATTAAAACAGTTTTTAGAATAAAGAGTTTATTTGAGTTACTCAACACATATTATAGTATATACATTTTACAAAAGCAAGGCAACACATATGATCATAGTAATACTTAAATTATATTAGATGGTAGCAAACTGAAAAACAGCAATCATAATTAATATAATGATATAATATTAGTATTCAAATAAGACACATGCATTTTCTGTGTGTGAAAATGGGATATGTTTTAATCAATAACAGAAATGAGAGATGTATATCCCTCGTTAAAAAGTTTCAGTGCTATGCAGTCACCTAGGCTGCAGGCTTTCACCACAAGTTAGTCTGGTGTGGGGGGGTTGGACAGTGCGAGGGATAAAATCATGAATCCGTTTTAATGAGATATGGTCAAATTAGCTTCTATGCCATCAACTGTGTTAATGTTGTATAAGGTGCTATTGCTGTATTGGAAGACAAAATAATTGAAGCATAATGTTTCTAAAGTCAGGAGAGAGGCTTCAGTGTGGCTGCCTGTATGGCTGGTTGAATACTGTCAGTAGCAGGGAGGCACTTCAGCTGAGAGTCTGTCCCCAACCATCCCATTGTCATTCCAGTTTAGCAAGATTTGAGAAAATATATAAACCATCAATAAAGGTTTGATCCACAAGCAGTGCAGTGTCTCTTAGAAAGAGAATGGATAAATTGTTCCCCCAGTGCTGAAGAATGATCTGGTTTTATTACATGGCCACAGAGAATACTCAATTCTGATTGGCTGGAAGGTGTCCATTATTTTCAGGTAACCACATGGCTCTGGCACAGTGGCTTCATAACCTTTTTTAAATTTATTCTTATAGCTTAAAGGCTAATGATGTCAGCTGTTATCCAACTGTGTAGTATCGTACTTAAAGGAATAGTTCAAAATCTTATGTGCTTATTCACTTTCTTGCCTCTCATGTCTGTACGGTAGATATAAAGGAACTGCCAGCAGCCGGTTAGCTTAGCATAATGACTGGAAACAAGGGGGAAACCGCTAGCTAAACTTCCTTGTGTGTACTGTGAGGTTGTCTGGAATCCAGCACACACTTGAGGATATTACTGTGCCAAGAAACAGTCCAACACATAACCCCTGTAACACCTCATTGTGACATTTTTACTCTAAAAAGACATACAGTAACATGGCTATTAGTGAGTGCTGGTAGGTGGATTTTGTACCCATTGGAGTTCATCCCTCTGCTTCCAGTCTTTATGCTAAGCTAAGCTAATATAGCTTCATATTTACCATACATACATATACATAGTTATATCAATCTTCTCACATACCTCTCAGCAAGAATGCTAATAAATATTTCCCAAAATGTTGAACTATACTTTTGCATTTTTCTCACTGGCAAGCTACAACAGTACTATGTAAGTAAAATAATCCAGTGACCTTTGTGGTTATAAAAGAAGCAAACCTGTGGATAATAAGCCTCTGCAACACATATTACGTTTCAACAACTGTGTTGCAAATCAAGGATTATCTCAAATATAATTATCAGTTTCACAGAGTGAGCTGCTACGCCTGCAATGTTTCAATGCGTTACCAGGCCGAAGGTTCAGTTGCCTCGCCTCTCTCGTTGAACACACAGGAGCGTGACCTTCTGCGAAACATGGTGGCCCCCGGGCCTTTCCTTCTGGTGATACGCAGATAAATGTCAGAGTGGAGGAACCTGGGGTAGGAGTCCTTTTTCATCAGGCTGTAGACTTTCATCTGGGCTGCTTCAAAACAGCTCTTTGTGGGCTGGGCTATGCTCTTCTGGATGGCCATCTTGGTGTTGTAGTCAATGTTGACCTAAGTGGAAGAAAATTAAGTCACAATGAAAAAACATGCAGAATTACTGACATGCCGTATCAACTACATTCAAATCTATACTAATGGAATATTAGAAACACACACTTTTGTCTCTGTCTAAGGCCTAGTGGAATTGTTGTCAACTGAGAATATATCAGATGCTGACGAGAAGAAAGGGGAAACCCCAAGATCCACAGCGAGAGCAGTGTAAAGTAGAACCACTTGAAACAGTGTAGAAAATCTACATTTGCATGAGTTCACTCAACAACTAAAATGAAGCACATTTTAGACTGTAAAGGTGTTTGTCTGTGCTTGTTCTCTTGAGAAATGAATTTAGATTTATTAAGGCTCACAAAAGCAACAGTATCAGTGACACACAGCCATCAGCTCCCTGGATTTCATCATAGATACTTTTGTGAATTATTGTTTGTTTAAAAATAGGACAATGGAAGGCTGTGAATGGTATTTGAACAATTGTTCTTCTTTAAAAGACCAGCAGTGATGAAGCTTCTCACACAGCAATAAAAATAATCGCCCCTAACACACCTCTCAAAATATTCACAAGTGTGAAACTGCATCTCCCACCATCAGTATTGAAGGTTACATTCGTTTACATTTGGGTCTCCCTGGAGATCACTCAAGTTGGTAAACTCTCTCATGACAGCATGCTCTGAAAAGCTTCTAATCTTTCACATGTACACATACACTCATCTTAGACTGAAAATGTGTGGGTGACGCTCTCTCCAGTTCTGCAGAGGAATGTCAAAACCTCAAACCAGACACCCAACTCTTTAACGGACAGATCTGCTGCAGGGCTTAAAAGCATATCTAGTGGTGGTCGCATCATCCTTGCTAAGGGAATGGAAACCTTTGAAACCGCTACTGTCTTCCACAGAAATAACCCGACCTGCTTTTGCAGAGGTGCATGCACTAGATGCGTGACCTCAGTGAGATGCTGCTACTCCTAACGATTGTTCACAAAGGTCATCCTGCTGCAGGCTCATGACTATGCAGTGCTTTTGAATTCGCCCACTGTTATTTTTATTACAATGACATTAATATTTTAAACCTCGGTGACAAATAAGCCAAAGAAAATACTAAACCAGCAGGCGTTGTTTGAGGATTTATCCTATTTTGCAGCATTACCCCCATGCAGATTATGGTAAATAAATATGATATGCCGTACCTCTTTAGGGGCTTCCGATTCAATAAAAACTGTATAAATATATTTGGCTTTGGACAGTAGCTTTGTCTCAGAATCAATGGTCTTGTATTCTTCACAGGCCAACCAGAACTCAATGTTTTCCTCACTGAACTCTGTCCTGAGGAACTGAGAGAAGGTTTCCACCCCATCTGAAAAAGAGAAACACTGTTAGTTACTGGAATGACGTAACACAAAGACAGACAACTGTTCAAAACAAAATATGTATTTTCTGAGCCTGTTGGGTCAATGAAGCTCACATTTGAATGTAGCAGGATGTGTTAAGGAGACATTCCATAGCTTCCTTACCCTAAAGTCACTAAAATGGCCCTACTATACAAACAATTCAAATATATACAAATCATTAATAGCTTAAAAATACTTTTTGCAATTATTGTCTTCATTATATGCCTCTGACTACATTAACCATTCCCCAATGAGCACATAGAGTGGTTTACAATGTTTCACTGTGGCACTAAAGTGCAACTTCTGTGATTATGAGGAAGTTGCACAGTTTCTGTATTACTAGCTGTGCTAACAAACATTAAAAGATGTAGTGAAACTCTCACTGCTCTCTCCATTACCTATTTATTGCCTCTAGCACTCCTTAACAGTTTACAATTCAAATAGAGCAAGTTGTTTGACAGCAGAAGAAACTGTTTTGGACAGCAATTTGACACATTTTTGAGAAGTTTGGGGCATTAAACTGACCTGAGTGCTTTAGCAGTTCTTCAAAGGAGTCGCTCCATTGCAAAGCTGCCTCTGGTGAGATGCTGCAAAAAAAGAAATCAGAGATGCGGTCAGCCCTTCCCTAATGATGCAGCAAAAAATGTTTAGGATTCTCATGAGACGTCTACATGCCATGTTTGTAGAAGGGTGCAATGAGTTATGGAGGGTGCTGGAATCTGAGGTTAATAATGAATAATACTTGTCAAAAACAGCATTGCCTATATATGAAATTAATGGATTTTGCCTTACTTGCTTGGTGTCGTATTTGTCTTTTTATGGGGACTGACGTTTTCATGAGAGCCTGACTTGGTGAGAAAAAGGCTTAGTCGGCTCTTCCTCTCCTTGTCTTTCTGTCTGCAAACAGAGAAGAAAATACATCAAGTTCCACGAACTGTCTGTACATGCAACTGTGACACTGTTAGCAAATTATTCTAAGTATTAGAAGTACTCCTTACGGACACATTTCTGAAGTGGCTTACGTGACCCGCTATGAATTACACAACATATTTGTGGTACAAGTCACATTAGCACATGTCTTTTAACTAAAAAGCAGCAGAGACTCATCATGGAGGACAGCAGCTTTTAAAAGTATCACAGCCCTAGTGTCAGCTGTGGTGGCCTTGAATGATACTATATTATACAGAAACATCACATCTCTCTATTATAATGGAGTTGTGGTGCTCTTGAGTAAAATCTTTACTTTTCAACACAGAAAGAAACTGTTGCTTAATCTCTTCCCTCGTGATAAAAAGTTGCACTACTCAGATTTCTGATATTAGCTGCAACAATTACTAAAGCACAAAAAGAAATTACTCATTCCCAAACAAAGTAAACATTAAAGAAAACACATGAAAATAACTGAGGTTCACACACCAACCTGCTACTATCGTCCTTCATCTTTGGTGCCTGCAAGTCTTCTGGACCAAGCATTTTGAAATATGCTTCCTCCTTCGGGGCCATGTAGTTGAATTGAGGAAATAGAAAAAGAAGCGTCTCCATGCTGTTCTGTCTGTATCTGGCGTGCAAAGCGGCAGGCCACAAATAGCTCTCTGAAAATATTTTAACCCATCACTCGATGAACCACCTCATCTTTTATAAACCCTGTTCGCATTTCATTTCCCATACCTTTTGCTCTACTTCCTGTAACGGTACAACCACTTACTGCTAACAGCTCCATCAGTGAAACAGAAAACCCCCTGGGTTCAACATCCTGTCAACTGTTTACTTAGAAATTTGAAAAAGAAAGCTGCTCATTCATTGATTTCATGAATTTTTTGTTTGTTTTTGCTTGAGGTATGAGTATTAGGACACATTGTTAGCTTGTTCTGAGTCTGACGCATTGTACTGAAGCAATTATGACCTAATAACCCGGGTTACGTAAAAACAACTGGTGTCCGAATTTTGGTCAGTTTCTGTGGTGTTTACTCACTCTCACTGCTGCAATGGGATTATACAGTTGACATTGTTGTATGAATCATATTAAGCTAGTTGATAAATGTCTTCTGTAAGTGTGAGATCCTGGGCATTATAAGAGCGATTCTGTAATTCGACTTCCACCACCAGCAAGGCCAGACTGCAGAGATGGAAAGAATGAAATGTAATGAATAATAAAAATGTGTCTGTGCAGAGCCTGGGCTTAACTCTTTCCAGAACATCAGAGCCTTAATGGAGAAAGACAAACTCACTGTGACACAGTGGAAGCAAACATGGATTAGGTGCATTCTGGGGCAGATGGAGACAAATGTGATCTCTCTGTTAAAGATACCAGAAAAAAACCTTGACAATGTTTCTTTAGTTCTGACAATAAATAAATAAATAAAAATAATAAAAATAATAAAGTGCTGGAAGAAAAAAGCAGCAAGTCTGCCGTGATGAACAAGTCATAGTCTGGCAATGTCCCCCTCATCAAAAAAAGTGATTTTCTTATTGTTGAATCGCTTGAATGTTTAAACTTCACTGTGCAGAATGAGGTTTATGCAGAGTTTAACATTACAAGGCTGTTTTATTTCTGTGTGTAGGATTTAGTGGCATCTAGTGGTGTAGCTTCAGATTACAACCTCCTCACCTCACCGCCAAACTACTGTGGCCATGAATCCCCCTATGTAAAGCCAGTGTGTGGTTTGTCCGTTCTGGGCTACTGTAGAAACATGGTGGTTCAACATGGTGGAACAGCTCATTCTAAGGTAACAAAAATATGATTCTTATTTTCAGGTGATTATACACTAATGAAAACATACTTATAAATATTATATTGCAAGTTTTCCATCCTAAATGTTACACTCTGGACCTTGATGTGTGTGCATGAAAATGACTTTGTGACATCACAACTGGTTTGGAAGACAGTCCTGGTCCAGTGTCATGTGGAAACCTGAAGCCACAATTAAGATTATGATACCACAAAGTTTCAGTGTAAATAAATAAGATAATAAGCCTGTATTTGGCCAAAACAAACATCCCCATAGGGCTTAAGACCACATTAGATGGACTAAACATATGTCAAGGTCTATTTTTGGGCAGTTAACGATCGTGACTGGCCAACCTGATTTGGTGCAAAAAACCCAATACGACATTGTTACATTATGCTCACGCAAGAGGAGGAGAAATGTTGGTGGTTGGGGTAAGATTATTAAGATAAACTACAACAACAAAAGAAAAGTAGACTTAATAAAACACCTAAAGAGCCACCACAGAGCAGAGTTCAGAGAGTTTGCTAATGCTAGCAAAAGTAACAACTGACCTCCGCTGTAGAAAGTTTTAAGAGTACAGGCACATATGTATTAACCATATGCGTGCAGACACATATGATTTCATCCCTTTAATGATCATTATGAGAATTTATTTCTATTTAATATTGTGCTCTTAGGCCTAAAGCAAGTTGACTGTAAAGGTGTCGTTATTTCAGTAAATCTAAAAACACTAATTAGTTGTTCAGTTTTTTTCATGTGTTAGCCCAACCCTCCAACGGTCATACACCTGTGCAACTTCGGGCTAAATCTAGGCCTTTCTCTTTCCTCACATTAAAAGCAACACCCACTGATTAAAATAGACAAATTCTTTACTGCAAATGCATGTATGCAGCTACAGCCCAGGGGGCCGATAAACCGAAGCTGCAGTATCCTTTCCCTTCAGGTAAACAGTGGACTGCTGCATCACTGAAACCAAATTAAACAGCAGTCATTTAGCTTTGCTGTATGTATTTGCCTCTTGTCAACATACCAGATGAGAGAACCACCAAAATCAATACACACACAGAGCCAAGAAGGTTCCCCGCCAGCTGGGCACAAAAGATTAGGTTTGTGTTATGTGATCATTTTGAAATAATATTCCCATTTACAGTTTTAATTATGTATCTATTTCACCAGCACCAGGTCTTGTGCTTGGTTCTCTGTGCAATGAGATTGTACATTGTCTGAAGACTGAAGAAAACATTGAGAAGATGTTTGTCTAAAAGCAATTTAGCTCAGGAATAAAGAGATTGTCTGAAGTGTCACTGAACTAAACCACAAATATTGTCTGTGCACAAAAGTCCCACTTAAATTAAATCACGTGATTTTTGGTTGATGTATATTGGTTAACTTCCTTTATGAACCCAGCACTGCTGTTCCTGTATTATGGCATCACTAAACAGAATTATACATCTGTGGATAGTTATAATATGCAAATATATCTTTACGACTGTGCTTTGCATGTTGCTTGGTGAAAGGGGAAGTCATAGAGTTGAAACTGCAAAGTGCTGACGCGGGTAAGGGGGAAGGAGGGATGTTGTTACTTCCTGTCTGAAAACATCTGGTCATGTAGGTCTAGTCTGCTTGGCATGTCTGCACATTTTGTCACTGAAAATACACACAAAGAAACAAAAAAACAAACCTACGACAAACATAGAAACAAAGTGAACAAAGTTTGAAATTGCTTAAAAATATGTACATAATTTGCAATAATTGTGTTCCTGCATTCAAATGCCACTTGAACAATATGTTTCAGTGGGATTGCTTTCATCTAAAAATGGGACACTTCATCACAAGTGAAAACAGTTGGCTGCTCAGTGAAGAGGCCGGGCATCTTTAAGGCCTTGATCTTGATCTACCCGAGAGGCTACAGTACAGTATGTCAAACCAGGACGAATGACTGAAGAAGTTCTTCTATTTCATTTCATCTGCCATATTAGATATTCTATTTAAAGACACCAGCTTAGAATTATTATAAGCTTCTATCCCAATTTTGATATCAAAATGGTACTATTCACTCATTCATTCATTTTTTCTTTAAAGAAAGAAAAAGTTGAGAAATTTGATAAAATCTATGTCAGTTTGTAATTATGGCAGACATGCAGTGATTGGACCGAACAGCCAGCATTTAGCTACTGTAACAAGTTAATAATGGTTAACTCATTATGTATAGATATTAGGATGAACATGATCTCGGTCGTTTTGGTGTGGTTCAGCAATTCTGTGCCTCATTATTTATGTTCAACGTCAGTTTTAAAGGAAACAGTGTGCCCTTTATGGTGGATGAGTGTTTATCACATCTGACTTTCATAAAGGAGACCAGAGTCCTGGGCCATCACAGAACTGAAATCAAGTGTTTTAGTTGCCTAAGCACAACTGTACCTTAACCCATATTTTATCTGTCATAGCAAGAATCTGTCCTTAACTTTAACATACTGTAGTCGCCATGTCCAGATATTGCAGAAAATGAGATTTTAAAAATCCTCATTGCATTGAACAAAGGTTTGCAGCATCGTCCAATATCAGACTTTTTGTCTGATGATTGAAATGGGGACTGAGAAGGCCCTCCACAGTCTGACAGCTAGTTCATGCCATCAACTTGAGATTGCTGCTACACTCATTGCCAGTGTCCACCTGTTGGTCTCTGAGTCCATATTTCCCCTGGAGGGAAAGTTATTATTGTCACTCCACACTCCCTGCTGTGCTGAGTTTGCTGTTTCCTCATGGGGAGTGATGAGGCCAGAGCCTAGATTCCAATATCAACACTATACAAATTCTAAATTTACATAATTCTCTATTTAATAATCACTTCAATCCGTGAGTTGACTGACTAAACTGTGATGAGAGGGTGGCACTAATGTCCTGTACATGTCAGCCAACATATCCACCAGGGCCAAACATGAGTTGGTGACATGCTTGCATTTTGGAACACTTATGGAACCAACGTCTATATTGGCTCCATGTACTGTATGTTACCATTTGTGTCTGCCTATGTGAGTCAGGAATGAAGGGAAGCAAGAATGGTTATTTTGGAAAAAGTGGACCATAAGAGAGATTTGGTTACCATGTGGGCTGAACATGTGTTGGTTTATAGTCATCTAGAATAGTAATCTTGATTGTAAATAAATCTTCATTTGCAATTCTCTACCACTCCCACCTAAGATGTATTTCACTATTGATTTCTTGCAGTACTGAAACTTAGACAAGTATGATGGCTGTTGCTTGTGTGGTGCAGAAGAACCACATTTGCCCACCATTGCAGCAAACCAATACCTAGTTGTGACGCTTTTCAGCTTTAGGCTTGCAGTTGTACAGATGGTATCACTGCACTAATGACTCCTACAGGGTGGTTGGGCTGCTTGTGCAGTGAATGCAGAACAAAATACCACAACCTGGTGGGCAAAAATGGGCCCATCTTGCCTCAAACATGTGCCCAATTTTGTGAGCAGTCTATGTGAGATTTATTCAAATGGGGGGCCCCCCACTTGATATCTCAATCACATAGACTTATCACATAGACATGTTGGTGTAGTCACATATACATATACATGCAGTAAATCTGTTCAAGAAGACTGTACATTTCAGATGGTTTTCTCAGGTTTGGCTGCTTCACAGCTTTCATCAGGCGTGGGATCTCCCTCATTAGACTTTACAAGAAGGTTGAGAGCTTCCAGGAAATGAGCTCCACTTTTAGCTGATGTGTCTAAGAGGCAGACAGCAAAGACTGTGTACAGCAATATGGCTGCAAATCGGTGACATCATTTCCCTTTCAGTGAGTCACACAGGTGCTCCCTCCACAGATGAAAGGCGTGTTGCATTTCAGTGCAAATCACCCGCTCAGCGTGGGAATGTACAGGACAGCACATAAATGTTTATTCTGGTTTAATGTGAAATG